CCAGCCAGCCAGATATCTCATAGTCGACAGTAAGTATTCTGTCGGAATGGACAATGGTGAATGATAATAAATATATCCTGAAGAAAATTAGTTTAAATCTGTGAGTCATTAGCAGGGTTCGTATTTGCTCAGTCATGAGCAGCTCAGGCTCATGAGCAAGAGCCAATTCTTATATGAGCCCAAAATTGGCTCATGAGCGTGAGCCCAAAATTGACTCATATTGAAGAGCTGCTCATCAGCGTGAGCCTTCAAGTTACTCATATTGAAGAGCTGCTCATGAAATCTCACGAGCCGAGAGCTCAAGATAGATGAAGTTGACAAATGATAGAATTAGGCATAATAGTTATATTAAAAATACCTCCTATACAAAACAATTACCGACTCTAAATTTTTTTTTTGTAAATAGTTATGTTTATTGGATTTTACGACTAATAAAACCAAATTTAAAAATATATCTTAAAAAGTTTTATAATTAAATTGATATATATGTAAGTATCATTAATATGTGTGAAGGGTATTGAAGATGCGGGTTTTCTGTGTAAAAATAAATATTTTTCATATTCTTTTTAATCATTAGAAGATTTATTGACCTATATGGAATACTTAAATATAAGTTTTTCTATTCAAACATTGAACTTTTTAACGTGTTGTTTATAATTAAATGATTTATTTATCTGGGCATTCCCGATGATGTTTGTTTCATTTGTCATAAGAATTTTTAATTTAAATAATCGTGAACTAGAGATTCATAGAAATATATATTAATTATTGTATGTATTTGTTCTATTGAATTTAGCATATAAATTTTATGATTTTTTAAACGCATTTTTAAAAGTCTGAAAAATAAAAATAAATATTAAATAAAAAATAATAATATATTAAATTATTTAACTATTAATACAAATAGACAAATTAAACAAAATTAAATTTAAAATATTATATATTTATTCCTATATTATAAACGTAATTGTTATGTTTAAAATGGTGTTGAGAAACTGTTGAAACCTATGAAATAAAGTTATAATTATAGTTATAAACAACCGAATATTAATATTATACTGATAGTTTAGTATCAGTATCATTAGAACTGAAATATACATAAAAATATTATAGTCGAGTTGGCTGTCGAGGAAGTTTAAATCTAGTCTACAAAATATTAACAAAGACTTTGTAATTAGGAAAACCCATTTGTAATAACTTTATAGATAAAACTGATCAAATTAAAAGGCAGTGTTTTAATTGCAATTTAGATTCAATTTCAATTAAAAGCACAAATTAGTTTCTATAAAGTAAAAACTGTCAATACTCAATACTTTGGTATACTCTCCATATTAAACTCTTATTCATTTAACTCTATATATTTTAAGTTCAAACCTTCCTAAATTTTATAGATTGACACAAATTTTTATATTATCATTATCAACTTTTTTATGAGTTTCAGAATTATCATATATATATTCATATATATATTAGCTCCATTCTTCAGAATCATGACCTAAATCTCTTTATTATATTGCCTAACTTTATATTATGAAAATTTTTAATATAAAACGAGTATATTTCTGAAAATAATTTTTAAGCCTAATATAAAAAACAAAATTATAATAAAATGATATGAAATAGTAAGCATGAACGTGAGTTTAAGCAATTTTTGAAGTGATATATTTAAAAATATACTTCAATTTAAATTATTTATTAAAATTTGCTCAAATATGCAAAAATGTATGACAAGTTATATTTGTGATAAATTAGTAAGTGTACTAAATATACAATATATTTAGTTTATAAAACAGACTAAAACACGAAACACCGCAAATGTACATGACAAATAAATTAAAATACTGTTAAACTTATAATATATATAATATAATAATACAACTTAGATAAACATTTTATTCGTTTAACTAATTAAATATTTTACCTTAATATATATCACATCTAATTAGACAGATTATCATTACAAAATTCTCTGACCATCTTGGCCCATTGCCCGGATCAACACAGAATTGTCCCGTTTTCAAGAAATGTTTAAATGGATTTTAAAAATAATGAAATAGTATTTTTCACTAAAATCTTTGTTATATATAATTCAAATTTTTATTAAATGATTTCAGGACTCCGCCCAAAAATAATTTAGTTATTAGTTACTTTTTCAAAAATTGTTGATTCAAAAAATAGGTCGATTTTAAAGCCATAGAAAACTGATTTGATTATTTGACCACATTTTTTTTTTGTTACAGTACTTCCGTTATAGATCCGCTTCTACTACTTTTCAACTAAGCAGCGTAGCACCTAATACGTTCTGATGTTACGTATATTGATCATTTATTATTCTTTCTATTTTATCAATACAGTGAATTAAAAATAAATAATCTGTCTATTGTATAGGATCGTAGATTTTTTGCACGATCTTCTGTTCATATATGAGCTATGAGCTATGAGCAACAATCTAATATCATTCGTCGTTTTTCAACGCACATCATATTTTTAGACTTGAAGTGTACATAGTAGATTCTATAATATTAGGTGTTGTAAAAATAAATCCAGTATTTTTCCAATGTATAGCTTGCCTGTATCCCGCGTAGAACAAGTCCGCTTGAGTTACGCTAAATGGCGTTAGAAAGATGAGATTTCGTACTAAAAAAATTTTTAACAGTTAAATATCAAACTGGGTGACTCAGTTTTGTTTGAAAGGTGGACACTAGTTAAGAAAACATACGCCATATATTAAAGTTTTTCTTCGATAAAGGCTTAAACAAAAGCCAGACTGCAAAAAATGTTAATAGTGTTTATGGTTCTGATACTTTAACAGCCAATCATGCGCAATTTTAGTTTCGTCGATTCCGTTCCGGTAATTTCAATGTCAAAGATGCACCATGCACTGGAACGAAATTGCTGAGTCCGTCCTGCTGTTGTCATGTAAGCATGACAAGAGCTAAAGATTGCACAAAAACTAAAAACCATTTGCAACAATTTGAATATGGCGGGATACAAAAAGATACTCAATGTTTAGACGCCATTCCATCGGCGAATCGCTATTGAATTGCAACAAAATCGACCCATTTCTGAAGCGGTTGGTGACGAGTGAATCACTTACGACAACGCCAAGCGAAAATGGTCGTGATCGAATCGCGGTGAGCTGGCTGAATTGGTAATTAGTGACCAAGCCAGGATTGACTGCCAGGAAGGTTTTGCTGTGTGTTTTGTGGTATTGGCAGGGAATCATCTAATATGAGCTGCTCCTCTACAGCAAAAGTCTACTCGGATGTGTACTGCCAGCTTTGAACAATAGGGGAGCAATTTCGTTCTATTAGGGCAACGTCAGGCCACACATATCGATCATGTATCGCCAAAACCTCCGGGAGCTTGGTTGGGGAGTTTTTATACATCCATTTTATATTCCAAATGCAAATATAATGGGTTTCTTTTTACTACACCTATTATTAATTGACACTTTTTGTTTATGGATTGCAGCGGAATATAAAATATTATCCACAGTTTTGAAGTGGAGATTATTTAAACGTAGCTTGATACTGCTGCATAATGCAATGCATCGCTTTTAATTGCACATCATGATTTTGAATTTGAAAGTTTTAAATGTATATAGTAGATTCTGTTGTATTAATTGCATATATCTCGTTTTACATTGCTACCTATGTGTCTTCCTCCGCCTAATTACAATTCTGAAGTATATAATAATACACAGTTTCGAAGCGGGCATTATCTGAACTCATATTCATTGGTAGAGATTTGGATTTTATTATTACCCATTTTTCTCAATATCAGATCTTTTTACGCCATCGTTTGGTTTTAGGTTGAAGACAGCTGTTGTATTCATCACGTCAGATTTAGTTATATTATAAATAGTATTATAACTAATTATAGTATTTATTAAATACATTACCTGCTATTATAAATAATTAAAAAAGTAAAAAAAGTAAAAAATTATTCAAGTACAACCACTAATCTTTCCATACCAAAGTAAACGTTTGTTTATTAGTAAAAAGTTGTTTCAAGATAAAGTTTTTACCTTGTTTTACCAAATATAATTTTAGAACATTACTTTTAAAAAATTATTTCAAATTATAATAGGCGAATGTAAACAAAGCGCCATGCTTTCGCTTATTTATAGTGTATACTACTAATATGTTATGTTAATCAACTCAGGAAGGAATGAAGTTTCCGATCCCCATAACAAAGCATATTTATTATTTAACGATTGTTGTTTACTGCGCAAAGTAAATCTTTTGTCGCGTTATTCCATAATTTATATTGATGGGTATTTAATGCTCTCTCAATCAATTCGGCTCTAGTGTTGACATATATGCGCCCAATTTGTATTTCAATTTGAAAATTTAAAAATTTGTTGAAATCATTAGTCACTTCCAAGCTGTAAATGCGTGAAAATATTTGAATTGAGTGTGAGTGATTTCCCCACTTCTGACTTGCAGCAATCAGAGGCAGAGGATGCACTGCGTTCACTTACCTACCGACACTGGCTGGCGTTAATGGACTCACCGTATGCCGTAAAGATTGTAGCAAAGTAAATATAAACAAACGGAAAGCAAATGCGTTGCGCACTGGCCTGGCCTGGCTAGGCGGTCGATCTTCATAGTAAAAAGTGTCGACTTGCTGAATTCCAAGTTTGTCGAATCATTGTTCTGTGCCGGAAATGAGAAAATTTTTGTTTCTTTCTATGTGTACATGGTATATATTCTTTTTTTTTCCTTCCCAATAATAATGTATTTTATGTATGGAAAAAATTGCGTGCTAAAGAGCCGCGAAAGCAATGAGAAAACAATGACGACACAGTGGAATACTAATTAAGTGTTAAACAGCAAAAATATCAAAACTGTTTTTTTTTTATATATTTTAAAATTAATATTAATATTATTTAAGTTATAAGGTATAAAGTATAAACTATATAAATCTAAAAACATGCGCATTAAATGTTTACAAAAAGTTTTACACTAAATTTTTTCTTTACATTCTATTTTTAGTGAATCCCATTTGTACACTAAAAGCGTAACGGACCAAGACGAATCCATCCAATAACTGCGTCACATTAATATTAAACAAAAGTTATTAATAATAAATTAACAAACGAAATTAGGTTCAAATCAATTTATTAAATTAAGCAAACCAACAACAAAAGGTAGTAAATCATAAGTTGAAGGCACAGCGATTAAAAAAGTATCTCACAATCACAATGGAAACTTGAAATGCTTGAACGTTTTCGTTTAAGTAACCTGAGTTCACGTTTTCGATTTCGGGGCACAGAACTGGCGCGCGACAAGAAACAACGTCAACAATGCGTAACTGTATTATTTCTAGATGACACCACGCACACCTTTCGGATAGAGGTAATTAAGACATACCATACACTACGAATATAAGGCATATCTAGTAGTTATTCTACATACAATCGTATATGCTAAAATAAATATAATTTATGGTTTTTAAGAGTTTCTTACATCTATAAAATTATTTTTATTTATTTTTTATTTTATTTTTAAATTAAATTTTATTGCTTTAATTTTTATAATGAATTTCATATTAATATTAGAAATAATTAAAACATAACATTTCATTAAAATTGAATAACAACTAAAAACAATTAATCATAAATTAGAAAGTATCTTCGATAAATTTATTCAAACAAATATTTACGATGTTAAATATTTTTGTTCATTATTATATTCATTGTATTTCTCTCCTGATGTTATTAACCAATTTAACCAATTTACTCCACGTAAAATTTTATATTTTCAAATATATTTTATAGACAATCACCACTAATCATAAAATATATTTCATTTCATTTTAAACACGCGTGTTTATTGATGAGCTTTATAGTTTATGAACTGCTAATGTACGCCCATTTCAGCTGCAAAGTGCATAATTTGCTGCTAAAAAATAGACATGCAATATCTTTCATGTGTTATTCAATTGATGGGTTAATTGCAGAAAACATTTTATTATTACTTGGAAAATTGAATATTATAGTCCGGTAAAATAATATCTCAACATTTAACGAACTATTAACGAGAACTAGCTACTTTCCGCTATAATGGAAGGTATAGCTTTTAGAAGGAAGGTATAAAATGCTTATTTTCCTATAGGGATTTTTACTCTGTCTTGAAAAGTCATTGCAAGGTGCACGAACAACTCTGTTGCAGAATTACAACATCAAAATGAAACATCTGTTTTTGCAGCAGTCTTGGTCTACTCCAAGTTCTCCCATTCAACAACATTTTCAACTTTGCCAAAGCTTGACGGTGGTTTTTAAACCTCTGCGTTTTTCCTACACCAAAAGGCCTAAGTGAATCCATTTTGATTGCTCTTTGGAACCTAACCAAACTAAAATATATACAAAGATCTTAACATTTCTTATGTAAGAAATAAAATAGATAAATCCAATACAACTTATTGTTCATCGGAAAATGTCTACATATACGAAAGCATCTACAACACCTTTACTTGCCGTCATATTTACACATTTAAGCTCAATAGTGACATCCAGATAAATACAATTCTCCTCTTTTGATAATATTTGCAAATTTAAGGTATCTTAGAGATATCTATATAGATATCGTTAATACTATTTTTTCTTTCGTAAGTTTATATTAAATGTAGAAACACCCGCAGTAAGATATCTTCAAATTCCAAATAAAATTAAAAAAGAAAAAAATGTCCATGCGATTAAGATCTGCAGTTTTTAAAGTGATTTACATGCGTGATCCCAAGTAACACGATATTGAATCACCTGAAGTAACACATTCAGAGCATGTTCTTTTGATTCTTTTATTGTAAGATAAATCATTCTTTTTTAATACTATATATAATTCCTACGATAAAGAAGAACTTGTTAAATCAGTGAACGAGTGCGTTTGTCTCTAGACTACTGTTTTTTATTGTGTTTCGCCCACTTCCGCGTTTCTGCACCCTTCGGGCATCATTTTCTAATGTGCGTTAGAATTATCTTGGTGCTGTTGGTAACTATTTTCCATAAAATGTAAAAAATACTCTTGTAGGTTATTTTCACCAAACTCTCGAAGAATTTGGTTGTGTTATTGTACAGACTTAAGCTTCAACAAACGGTTTCTAATTCCTCAACTCACTCCAGCATTTTTCCAAAATAAAAATCAACCACACACTTGTGTTCTGCAATGCGTGCGATCTGCTATAAAACGCTTAACCCACTTCTGAAAACTACTAGAAATGTGAATTATTAAGAAGAAATCGACAACCTTCCACTTTACCTACCTACCTAGTAGCTGCTGTTTTAATTAACCTTCTGAAGTGAACTAGTTTCTTACATTTTAAGAGAGCTCTCCTACAATATCATTAATTATGATCAACTTATGTTATATATCTTCGAGTTTCAATAGGTCCATATTGCCCAAAAACCTCTGGTTTATAGTAGTAAATTTATTGATATCTTACTTCCCATTGCATATCCATATTGGATTAATTTTGACGCTAGTTTCTTAAACAATTTTCCTTTTTATATAAACTAGAAGAACTATATCAACAATCAGATATCAGTACTTAAAATATTAACTTAAAACTGTCATAATAAGAATATATTTATTCACGTCTACCTTCTGTCACATATCCAATAAAATTTCTTTGGGTCATTTAAGTATTCCTTAAATTAACTTCTGGAATAAAGTTCAAAATCGATTCAACATCGGAAAAACTTATCAATTTTTTTTTTAACTTAATTAGAAAATATGAAAACTAGTAATTGTGGGCGTATTATTGCAGTTTTATAGAAATTATTAGTAACCACAGGTTTTAAGTTGCTTAAAATATGATAACTCATTTGCCTGATAATTGAGAAAGCGATGACGCACTTTCAAAAATAAATTATATTTTTAATCAGTTTACGCTTTTTGGTGTTTATTTTTCGATAAAATCAATGCAATGCCAATGACATCATGTGCCAGTATTATATTGTATTTTATTGTATTGAAACTTATATATAAAGCTAAATTAAATAATAAATCATAAACTAATTAATTTTTTAGAAACGTGCAAAAGGGTCTGAAATACTAAATCAGGTATTTCAGTTTCTTGAACTATCCGAAAAGGACTACTTTGGCCTGCTCTTTCCACAGAAACCGGGAGATGTGGTTGTAAGTACTCCAATCTATTTCTGTTTAATTACAATTAATTTTTGTTTTTTTATTATTAATTTAAGAGATGGGTCGATCCACACAAGCAATTCAAAAAACAATGTGGTAGCGTTGCTTTAGATAACGACGCTGTACCATTGTTAGAATTTAGAGTTAAGGTTGGTACTAAAACAAATGACAATGTATATAAAAATAATAAAAAAAATTTTATTCTTATCAGTTTTATGTAAGTGATCCCAGTCGTCTGCAGGAAGAGTATACACGTTATCAATTTTATTTGCAAATAAAACGAAACATATTTTTAACAAAACTGCCATGCTCCATTAATACACAATGTCTCCTTGCCAGCTATACTGTGCAATGTAAGGGCAATGACACTTTTCAATTGTGTTTAGATTGATTACTAATTAAATTATTTGTTAATTTGATTTTAGCTGAATTGGGAGACTTTAATCCAATTGAACACCAGACAGGTTATTTAAGTAATATGCAACTGTTGGTGGAACAAACTGCCGATGCTGAACGTAAAGTTTCTGAGTTGCATAAATTACATAGAGGACAATTACCAGCTGATGCAGAATATAATTACTTGGAACATGCGAAACGTTTGGATTTATATGGCATTGACTTGCATAAAGCGACGGTAAAAGTAAAATCTTTTAAAATTTCTAAATTAGTTATGAGTTGTAAATAAGTGTAGGACGTCAATTAACGAAAAAAAAGAGAATACAAATATATACATTAAAAAATGTAGGATTAGCATTATGTCGATATGAATATTGAAAGACTTATAATTTCTCTTTAAATCGAATCAGATAGATCAGATAAATTGTCCATGATAACCACACAGTCATGGTCACGTGTGGGTGACCATACCACAAACGTGGTCAACATTAATTTCACCAAATTTGAAATTAGTGTTGTTTTCAATGTAAATTAGAAATATTCTCCAGTTTTAAAGACTAAAAAGAAATTTCAATTAAATAATTATATATGTATATATGTAGTGGATATATGTAGCTATAATTTTGCCTCTTAAATTTACGTACAACCAAAATATATCAAAAAAAAATATAACTGCACGAAGTTGACAATAGTTATTTAACTCTGAATACTATGTCTTCATGATCATAATCAGAAAGATCGTACAACTGCCGTGACCATTCATCGCATAAACTGTATACGGTCTAATATTTGGCACACGCTAATAAAAATCATATATTTAGCTATCCCTGTACTAGAATAATATGTGTTCTAGTTTTGATAGTATGATTTATATAAAAACTAGTAAAAGTGGAAGATTACATTTATCTTAGAGTTACCGTGACAAATAAACAAAAATACTTATAACGAAACAAAATCGTACTTTAGTATTTCCTCATTTGTCACGATTTTATTTCACTGTAGTTTCTAACAAGTATCCTTACACCTATATACATAAAAAGAGTTGCTTAAAACACAAAAGATTGTTGAGCTTTCTGAGGTTGGAATATAGCCTCCTTCGATTTTTTAGTAGATTGCAGTTTTCCATTCAAAAACTATATACGTGTTTATCTTTCATCTATTTGTTTTATTTATTATATACAGTAATCCCCCTATTTCGCAGTAGATTGGTTCCACGTTATAGGGGTAATCCTGTATACCCCGTAAACACACATGCAAAGGTACGCGAAGCTAATTATGAACTGAATAAATCCCCACGTTATATGGGGGAATGCCCGTGTTATACGGAGGATTGAAATCGCGTTATATGGGTGCTCCGTTATAGAGAGCATTACTGTACATATGTATATTATTTTATTAATTTCTTTTATATACCATGTATAAATACAATTGTCTCTAATTCTTTTCTTCTTATCTATTGCAGGATTCTAATGGCAAGGAATTACAACTAGGCGTTTCGGCTTTGGGTTTATTGGTGTTTCAAAATGGTTTACGTGTAAATACGTTTTCCTGGTCCAAAATGGTAAAGGTATCTTTTAAACGTAAGGATTTCTTCATTCAATTAAGAAGAGAACCAGTAAGTTAGCAAATAAAAAAACATTCTACACTAAATAAATTCAATACAATACTATATTATTTATTATTTTTAGTCGGAAAGTTACGATACTTTACTTGGATTCAGCATGTGTTCTCATAAGCATGCAAAAGCCTTATGGAAATCATGTGTGGAACATCACTCATTCTTTCGTCTTAAACGACCTCATCGTTTGCCTCGTTTTCTCAATATCAGTTTAGGTTCAAAGTAAGTCATTAAAAACACATTAATGAGAGACACATTGAAGAAACACATTTAATAAAAGTTCAAATTGCTTTTCGTTTCCACATAGATTCTATTATTCCGGTCGCACTGAATTGCAAGCAGTACAAGAATCTAAACAGCGTGGTAAAATACACAAAGCCTTTGTACGTTCGCCTAGTAAACGACTTATAACAGCTGGTTCAGCAGCAGCATCACCATTAGCAAATGGTGGCAGTGCCTCTGATAGTAATGGTAGTGTTTCGTATAATGGTAAAGCACCGTCCGCACTGGTACCGCATACGTCCATTTTAACAATAACAAAAACTACACGTCCTCATGACAATAAAGTCACATCCAAACAAACTGAATCAATTCCACGCAAAGCCTGGGAACAGCAAAGCGATGAATACGATATACAATTGTGAGTGAAAATCATATTCATTTATATATTCAGTTTATATAAAATTATTACTAATTGTATTTATAATATTTATTGGTTTACATTAAATAAATTTTAATGTTTATAAATTCCAGAGATGCTGGTTTTATTGAGCACTGTACACGTCGTTTCGATTCATCACCAATACCGCCAGCTTACAGTTCCGGTAATCGCAGTCCATTACCAACAAGTAACACAAATTTAGGTCCACCAATTACCACGCTTATCAATGGTACTTCGACCATGTCGCCAGATAGCGGTAGTGATTTGATTACAATACGCTTGCAAGCAGATGAACAGGGTCGATTCGGTTTCAATGTCAAAGGTGGCATCGATTTAAGTTTACCAGTTCAGGTATCTAAGGTAGTGCCGAACACTCCAGCAGATCGTTGTATACCAAGAGTTTGTGAAGGTGACGAAGTTGTTATGATAAATGGCCGCGACGTACATGGTTTAAAACATGAGCAAGTTGTAACTATGATACGCGAAAGCCGTACACACCGCAATGGCGAATTACTGTTAACCGTAAGACCAAACTCCCTAGTAACAATGTTAGAAGAAGAGCCCTTATATCAGTATGTCCCTGAAAATGATGAAATAGGTTCACATTCGAATTTGTTAGATGGTGATGCATTGTTTACGCAAAGCTTGTTGTTACTTAGTGATGGTTTAGCTTCAGGTGCCCTACTAGCACAGTATGAACTAATGTATCGCAAGAATCCAGATTTGGCAATAACAGAAGCTAAGAAACCAGATAATATTGCCAAAAATCGTTATCGTGACATATCTCCATGTAAGTTAATGAAAATTATTACATAGAAATATTTGATTATGAAATTATACTTTTAAATAGATGACTGTACACGTGTATCGTTGGTAAACTCTTTAACTGGTGACTATATTAATGCAAATTACGTTAATATGGAAATACCAGGTGGTGTGGTAAACCGTTACATAGCCACACAGGGTCCATTGGCTACCACTACAGTTGATTTTTGGCGTATGGTACAGCAAGAGAGCAGTCATCTTGTTGTTATGCTTACTACAGTTATGGAAGCTGGCCGTCAAAAATGTCATCAGTATTGGCCAGTAACTGGGGATGAACTACAACTTGGCGATGGTTTTTCTATTAAATGTTTGAGTGAAAAACCTGATGAAACTGGTAGTTTTGTTTTTCGTGAATTTGTTCTTTGTGACAAACGAACGGGTGAGCAGCGTCACATTCAACATATGCAATATTTAGCTTGGCCAGATCACTGTGTACCCTCCGATCCAAATTTGTTTTTGGAATTTACGGAGCGTGTACGAGCAGCACGTAATAAAACCTTGTTGCAGGAAATCGAAGAAAGTCTGAAACAAGTGCGTTTGCTAGATGCTGATGCAGATGAAAATGGAGGCCTTATGACTGAACGCAAATGTGCTGCAAGCAATGGCGTCACACCAGAAGATGAAACACCTGTGTCAACAAGTGTACATCAGTGAGTTTAATCTCATTAACAGTAAATAATATTGTACAATACTGATTACATTATTTTACAGGTGCATAAGTGCCGCTAATCCTCCTGTGATAGTACATTGTTCTGCTGGAATAGGTCGCACCGGTGTGCTTATACTTATGGATACAGCTTTAGCGTTGATGGAAACACGTGAACCTGTTTATCCATTAGATATTGTGCGTACAATGCGGGATCAACGTGCTTGTATGGTGCAAAATGTGGTAAGTATTTTATTTTATTCATATTATTATTATTTTTAATATGATTTGAATATATATTTTTTTTTAAATATAATTAAATATTTTTGTTTTTAATAACATTATTAATTATATTTAATTTGATTTGTAACGATTTGTAAATTATGACAAGAGAAACTATTTTCTTGAATATAAACTATTATTTTGCAATATAATTTCCATTATTATATTATATATATATTTATTATTTATTATTTATTAATATATCATTTTTAATATTTATTAATAATTATATATATATATATCACTTTTAATATTTATTAATAATTATTATTATATATTATCTATATTATATATTATATATCATTTATTATATTTGTTATTAAATATAATATTTCATTTTTTATATTTATTATTAATTATATATTTTTTATTCAATTTCAATTATATTAATATTCTATATATTTTATATTATATATATATATATCAGTGACGACGCGTGCCCTATCTGGAAGGGTGTGCGGCCCTTCTTTAATGTTGTTTTTACATGTACCACTTATATTAAAATATATGAGATCTTTTATTAATAATAACTATATTATATAAGGCAACAATATAGTCGCAATATTATATTACCAATTCATTAACAAAATAACATATTAAACAAAATAAATTAATAATTTATATATAAATTTAATATTATATCAATATGGAAGAAACTAAACTTTTCATATACTTGTAACATCAAACCAACTTTTTTCAAACAAAAGAGTTTGTACTTGGAAACATACATGTTTATGCAGTGATGAAACAAAATCAAACCCACTTGCAACGTATAAATGTGCGCACAAGTACCCCGCACAGTAAGAACAGAAATTTGTTGGTGCTACTGTTAAAAGGGGAGAGACGAAATGTGATAGAAATGTATGCTGAGATGAGCTGCAAACTTCAGCCGCTCATGCAACCACTTTGGCAAATCATCATGTTGGATTCGTATGCGTGCAGTTGATATTCGAATAGAACAGAAAATTACTCTCATACAATTCCCACTATATAAATCTCTATTTCTGATATTATGAACGGGAGTACACGCACATTATTTTGTTCATATGCAATGTATGAATGTGCGGCCAACTTCTTTGCACACAAAGGGGAGAGACGAAGTAAAATAGAAATGTTCTGTGATTTGAGCTGCAAATATATGAGCACAACTAACAAGTATAGCGGCTAACAGAAGCAAATTGATTAAGTTTTCATAGACAATTATATTTAATTGTTTTTGCCAAAACTTTAAAAATATATATATGGAAATGTAATAAATAATAATAATTCTTGATGTGAAGATACATAATAAATTTATATACCTATGTTATTTGACATTTTGCAAGTTATGTTAGGGTGTTCACCGCACACCTCCGCACCTTAGAGCAATCGTCACTGGTATATAGTATATATAATATAGTATATATTTTTTATTCAATTTCAATTATATTCAATATTCAATTCAATATTTTATATATATGCTATATATATATTATGCATATGTATATTATATATTTTTTATATATATTATATATAAATTTTATATAAAATATCAATTTTATATATTTATATGTTTGTTTTATATATATTATATATATTTTAAATTATATATTTTTTAAATACATTTATTCTTCTGATAAGTTAATTAAAAAACGGATTAGCATTTCTAAATTTTTTAAAGAAAGAAATATCAAATATTTGGAATATATTCGATAGTCGTCGTCGAGAACGTATAATGAATGTCAATAAAAAAAGATAGTGACACAATATCAAAATACGTTTCAAAAACTATAATAATCATAAATAAATTAATAAAAATTTGATTTTTGTTTTTCAGAGCCAATACCGTTTTGTGTGCGAGTGTATTTGTGCAGCTTATATGAAAATGTCACGCAGTAGTGGAGTTATTGGTGTTGAGGATGAACAACATTAACACATAGATAATAAATTTAATCTAGATACAAAAACAACAAACTGCTATTTTTAAATTATAGTATATCAATTATATATAACAATTATAGTATATATCCACATTATATACGGTTATTTACACAAATATCAATTTGTCGATAATCATTTTGAAGTAGAAATTAAATGTCTTCTAATTAGAATTTTTAACGAATCTATTGATTTATATATATATATATGTACTCTTAGAATGATTTATTTTAAAGCAAACATATTTGCAATTCAATTTCATTAATACAATTTATAATTTTTGTTATATTATTCTCCAATATTTTGTTATATATCTTTTGCAACGATAAACGCATTTAAAATTCGTTTTTTAATATTAAAACCCGTATTGAGTATTACAATTATTATTAAAATTAAGTTAAAAGCAGTTTTGAATTGTATGAATATTTATCTTTTCCAAATTCGTTACTGATCCGATTCTTCTTAACTAAACTCTCGACTTTTGCTTCTAATCTCTAATAATGAAGGGCAATAATTGAATTTAAACATAAGTGCTGAAACACAATTCTAAATTTTTTGATATAGAAATAACACGCAAATCTAGAGAATTAAGATTAAACAGTTATTAAATTTACCTATATAATATGCAATTAATGTACGTATACAAAATTATAAACAAATACACTTTCGTGTATATATTTATACTTAATTAGTATATAAAATTAAACTGTTAGTATTCTAGCACCAAATAAAATATTTATGCTAAAATTTACATATTTATTGTAGTTATCGGAAATTAGTAAAACAAAATATTATATAATTGTAAATGTTTATTATAAAATAAAACATAAAGTAAATAATTTTGTACCTTTAATGTAAAAATTTAATGTTGATGGAAAAAATATTTATAATTTGCTGAAATTCACTCAAGAGCTGCTTCTAAATTCTTTATTTCTTTATATAAATCCTCACGCTCTTCTACTAATTTTCCATATTTCTGTTGTAATTCTTTTTCACGTTCCATTTGACGCCTCACATCTTCTTGTAGTGACTAAAAGAATAAGAATAGTTATTAATCTTAAAAAATTTCACTAAAATTACATAAACCTGAATACTCTACACTAAATAATTTCTACGCACTTGTAATAATTCTAAATACAGTGTATACATAATTTTATAATAAATGAAAATCATTTCGTAAAGCGATGAGTATTGATACAATAAGTTAAAAATACAAAACAACTAACAATCATGGATTCAGAATACCCACGGTTCCAATAATAACTGGATCTACGTCCCGGGGCCACTCGTCGATATCGACGATCAAATGCATTTCAACACCTCCTAAAGGAACTACATAAGCAGCTCCCAGTGGGTTATAACAACAACTTAATACCCACCACCAACAAATCATGGTTGTCATACTTGACAGTATGATTCAAGCGACATAGGGTCACTTGAAGACTCTTAACAACTTGTTTAAGGCGCTCATAGACTGTTCATATGGTAAAGTGGAAAAAAACCCTGCTGGGCACATACAAAGCAATAGAGCATATCTGCCAGATGCACTGAAGTAATCATGCAAAGTCAGTACAACGATTACCTGATCCCATGTTACATGTTAAACACCGTCATCGTCCTGATCACCACCGTCTGATATCTCTAACCATGCTAGTATACAGTTCTTATTTTTCATTCAAAGTACGATTTTTTAAACGGACTGTTCTCTTAACTGGGAAGTATTAGTAGTTCCTTCTTGTATACTATACGCTGTAAATGCTCTACGCTGTCATTAAGAGAAGGAATCTGATTTATAGGTTTTAGCTTGAACGCTAAGAACCAGTGTTAATTCCAATCTACTGTGTAGATTTAAAAAACCTCTAATAAATCATTAAAATATACAGTACTATTATTCCCAAATACCCTAAGAAAATAATCTATGTCTATAATCTATGCTTGATCCCCGCAAACAAAAATTTGAACCTACATCTTTACGTGGTGTATGACGTCGAAATAATAAGTAAATTTATTTAACAGACCACAATCTGACAAGCTTAGAAAAATTATTCAAAAATAATTCGTACATCTATTTTCGGACTGCAATAAAATAATTATCTAACGTTAGAAGACAATAGTTAGAACTGAAGAAAGATGTTTAAGTTTTCCTAATTTTTTAAGGCTAGTGACAGTGATCCTTACGCTTACGTTAATTACGTTAACTGTTAAAATCAAACAAAATATTAAAAAATGAATAGTTAGCCACTATATACTTTGATTATTAATTGAAAATAATTAAAGGGTTTTTAGGTGTCTCATGTCTAGTAGATGGGTTTCTCAATCTCTAATGTAAAATGTAGAAAACAAGCATGTGTTAAAAAATACATAACATCATAATTTGACAACACACATACACACGGACATAATAAAGTTTCATTTTTTTCCAATTATTTGCTATATAACAGAGCCATAATGTTACGATATATGTAGGTATGTTATATTTATAACATTTACTATTAGATTCTGAATAAAATTAAGTATATATTTTGTTGTCAACAGAAGTTTTTCAGAGTAGAATAATATAATTCAACTTATATTTAAAAATAAACTAAAATTAATGTCAGTAAAAACAAAAATATTGACTAATTACTCACCTCAAGTCGTCTTGGTATAGCAACAGCCTCTTGTTTAGCAAGAAACTCGAATGTGGATAGGGCTAACGTGTTTTGTTCGATTTGTTCATAAGTATCTTGCAGTTGTTTTATAAGTGCTTGGGCACGTGCCTGATAACCACCTGTAAGTATTTTTAGTTTTTTCTCGATTTTACCACAACGCTTAGCCTCTTTGGCCATATGCCTACGATTCTGTTCCAAGCGTTTCTCTGCTGATTCCAATCGATCTTTTTTACTTGCTAAATTAGCGCGTGTATAACGATTCTGTGAAGGCAAATAAAGCACTTGACCTAAACATTCTTGCCATACTTGGGAATATACATCCATAGGCAGTTCCCCATGGCCCATACCATCTTTTACAAATTCCATTTCATCTGTTAACATCTTTTTGGCCTGTTCAAGCTCATGTTTTGAAATTTCTTCATATGGATTTGATTTAAAATAACTTTGCAATTGATCCATTTTATTTTGTGATTGTCCAGGCACGGGATCTTTCACTGAATCATATAATAACATTGTTATCATTTCGTGCTTTATAAGCTCCTCAGCTTTTTGTAATTCAGTGAGATTTTGTTTTTCTGATTGCGGACGTAAAATTTTTGTATTTACTTCTGTGGGACGCGGTAATGCCCTTTGTATGGCTTGTGAACGTTTTTCTAATTCCCGTTGACGTTGCGCTTTTTGCTCAGCAATATAACGAGCATCAACATCAGCTTGATCTTCAACCACTGCTACTTCATTACTCTCTACTTGTTCGCTATCATCGTTTTCAGGCACAACAATCTCATAATCGTTGCGGGGAATAGGCAAAGTAGCTAACCCTTCGCGTAGGTTATTTTTTAACTGCATCTGATAGTTTTTATATAATGCAGGAGTATCACTAACATTCAAACTATCTTCCGGATTTATACTAAGCTTATCACGCACGAACAATGGTGTTTGCGTTGCACCTCCACGTGGTGTTTTTCCTACTGGAACAAGTGCGCTTGACATAGGTGTGGCAAATCCTCCTGGTGTACCAGACTCACTACCACGTTGAGTTCTATATTAAATATTCAAATATATATAATATTTATAAAAACAACATTATAATCACTTACCTAAACGGTGTCGCAATGACTGTATTTGGTGTTGCTATCGCTGCAGATTTCGGTAAGGCACCAGAAAAGTCAGACTCATGTAAAGGTGTATTTAAACCACCTTTTAGTGGTGTGTCTACATGTGTCAAGGCCATCATATTCTGTGCTTCTTGCATAATGCGATCTGTGTATGGTGCAGGTGTGCGAGGTGTCGCCGCTACCTGTGGAGTGATAGAGTAATCAGCTAGCAATGCATCATTAGCTTCTATTCCACTTTCTCCTGCAATTTCTTTTGCCATTTCACTTGCTCGACCCATTTTAACAACTTGCTGCAGTTCCATATCAGAAATCTGTGGTTGAGGCAAAACTAATTTCGAGCGTTTACGCTCAGGCTCACTATTTTGCAGCATTGCCATAGGCATTTCATTTTCTTTTCGCTGCTTTAATTTTTGTTTATCTTTTTTACGTTCTCGTTCTTCCTTTTCTGAACGCAATTCACCGTCTAGATCCTGTTGCCTCATTTTATTGAAGTCTGGCTCATGTTTGTCAATTAGTTCCTCCGATGTATCATAAAAGCCAGGAGCTGGACGTTTTTCAAATGGTATTTCTGCATTATAGTCAATTCCTTTGATACGTCTACGATTACCACTGCCAATACCAGCTGCGCGTAATTCACGACGTTTTTGTAACGCAGCTAAACGCCTTGCTTCCTCTAACTGTTTTTCACGTGCCTTACGTTTTGCTTTTTTTCCTTGTGTATTCGCTAGACGTGCACGAGCTTCCGAAAGCATTTCAAGTTCTGTAATAAATTACAAATAATTATTAAATAAATTTATACTAAATATTTTTTTTTATTCACCATCTTCATCCATGTCTCTTGGGTCAGGTCTTGCAGGTTTCGTTTCTGGATTTGGATCAATTTCACCTGGTCGCAATTTTCGTGGATCATCAGTTGCATCTTCGCCATCTTCTTTTCTTTGAGCTTGATCCCTATAACAAAAATACGTAACCATTAATAAACCATAAACTAATAAATATCTCTTTCAAAAATTAGCATATTACATTTAAGATCTTCTCAGTAGAATAAAATATTTGTAATACGAAATAACATTAAAACACGTTTTTTTATTTAAAAAACTACAAATAAAAAATTTAGTAAAACTCTTACAGAAGATATTCATAACGTTCCAAGCACTGCGCAGCGGTTCGTCCAATAATTGGTGCAATTGTGCGCCATTGCGTTGGCATTAGCTTAGCCAAGTGCAATAATTTCTCATCTTCCTCTCGTGACCATTCCGTTTTCTTAATACTTGGATCTAACCACTCATACCAACGCGCTTTACATTGCTTTGCAGATTTCCGATGTAACAGTGAAGCAATACGTGACCATTGATTTTTGCCATATTTCATCACCGCCGCTTTGAGAATTTCATCCTGAGAAAAAAAAAAACAGTTATTAGCCGGTTGCAAAAATTATGCATAATAGGTCTTACTTCGGTATTGCGCCAAACGCCACCTTTAATCATAATACGCGGCATTTTGTCTAATTATTTGACAAAAGTTTATGTTTCAAAGTTAAATGCTGGTATTAATTATAAAAATAAAAATTGTTTTCGGAAAAATAAATTTTCACTGCAGCACAAACTCGGCACCACTCAGAAAACTGACATTTGCAAATAAAATTAAGTGTTGTATAACGACTAATAAGCGTTTTAAAAACCTTAAATCTCGTTTAACTGCGATCATTCATTATATTATTCGAAATATTATATACATATTTATGATTCGTATTTTACTTGTATTCAACCATTCAGACTCTATTATCTGTTTTACAATGAGTTTACTGATCTATTTATATGTATGTAATACCACCAAAATTTGATTTCATTACTCCTATTAATTAAACAGTTAAAAACGTATACGATTGTATGAAAATTATTATATTATTTTGTATGTAATTAACATTGTGTTATTTATAATTTCGATTTATTTCCAATTTATAGTATATTTTAGAAACACTATTAACTAAAGTGAAATCAATATATATTTAGTTTAAAGTTAACAAATAGATGAAAACGAGTTTGACAAATTCAGAAGCAGGTTTCGACGTGTTGGGAACGAATTGGCAGCAAATTGGAAAATCTTATTAATATTTTAGTTTGCTTCATGTTTTTATTTACAATTTTCAAAAACAACAACACTAATTCAAAAGGCAGCAACAACTTAAACATATACGAGTTACTCTGATGCTAAATTTCAGAAAAAATAGGAATTGCAATTGTGTGTGGAACTACATGTTTAATCATTAGACTAATCATTATCTACATTGTATGCAGATTGATAATTTCGTGATGCAACAATATGTTTGTCAAACATCACTGCCATTTTGGAAATTTTATGTTAAATAATAGCATATTTCATTTGCCGGTTGCAAACTCTGAAAAAGTTGCATTCACACCAAAGACAACGTTTGGAAACAAACGAACATTCGCAGGTAATATTACCTGCAAAAATTGGTTTGTGGTAAGAAAAGATCTTAACTCGGCCACTCAAAAAGCTAAAATTTGCAAACAAATATAAGTGTTGCAAAACAAATAATTAAGCTTTGTAAAACATTGAAAATATCGTTAAACTTAAATTATTCTTAAAATTATTATACGAGTAATAATATATATAATTATATATATATACAAGCTGACCGTTTTCAAGATGGACGGCTAACTGAACAGCTGCTGGATTCCGTTCATGAATTAGAAAACCGAAGACACGCCAAGCAGCTTCATTGGAGCTGATGTACCTACCAATTTGGTAGAGCGTAATTTCACCGTTTTTGTTCATTGGAGGAGCATTTACATATGTATTTTCTACTCTAAACACAGCCATATCACTGCCTTTATGGACATACTTATATATTTGATGCTCTTCACAGAACTGCAAAACTCAACATTAATATGATTGTATGTCTTGCTTAGCAGAGGCGAATACGGCACCACCCGCCATTATCCCCCATTATCGGGATTTCTTCGACGATATATTGGATATCCGTCGGTATTTGTTACAGTATCATTAGTGAAATCTTTAAAAAAATTTTTAGTACATTTTCCATCTACCATGCAAGGCGAAGACGAAGACGAAGAAACGAAGTGGATGTAAATTTATATCAAAAAAATAAAAAATTTTTTGTTAAAGCAATAAGGATATTTTTGCTGGGTAGGGACTCCCTAATCACTTTAGTGGTATGAAAAATAGATAGTAGCCGATTCTCAGACCTACTGAATACGCAAATAAAATTTGGTAAAAATCGGTAAAGCCGTTTCGGAGGAGTTCGGTAACTAACATTGTGACATGGACATTTTATATATAAGACCGCAAACAGACATCGTTTGGCCTTGTGACTTATTGATGGTCTTTGCAAATGCCAATCTAATGGAAAATTGAACACATTTGAATTAAATTGAATTAAATTAAAATAAAACTTTTTCGTTTCGGAACTTGCCATTCAAAATGGTGGCTTCGATAATGTTTTTCATCAATTTTTTAATTACCAATCGCGTACTATTGCATAGCCGTGGTGGGTTCAAATTCCGAAGTAAAATAATCGGTGATCCAACTTTCAGTCGTAAAATGTGTGGTGGCATGCCTGGCAAATCCAGTGAGTTTAAAAACTTTGCTGGATAGTTTACAACTTCGTTTTTATCACAAACTGTATCGATCGATTTGTATGATATTAAGTCGCCCGGCAATGTCTGTTTTATCTTGAAATTTAATTCATCAACGTCCATGTTTTTTTGCTGCTAATGGCTCTTTCTGCCAGCCACCCATGATTTATGTATTGTATGTGTACATCTGGAAATACGCGGTCAATGAGAGCATTTTGGGAATCAACGATAGTGCAGAAATTAGGTGGCAGTTTTATGAATTCAGTATTTTCATAGACAACAACTTTTCATATCATAGCAAGTTTTCTTTTTCAAAAATATGAAAAAATTTATGTCAAAAAATTAAAAAAATTTTTGTTAAAGCAATAAAGTTATTTTTGCTGGATAGGGACACCCTAATCACTTTAGCAGTATGAAAAATAGATAGTAGCCGATTCCCAGACCTACTGAATACGCATATAAAATTTGGTAAAAATCGGTAAAGCCGTTTCGGAGGAGTACGGTAACTAACATTTTGAAAATCTTAAT